GCCTATCAAAACCTATGCTGGCTTCCAGGCTCCTTCAGTCCCTAGTCACAAACCCATTTCAAAACCCAGATGACAGCCTCCTGGCCCTTCTCACCTTCTGCACTGTTAGCCCATTCTCTCTGCTCTGGACCCTTCCAGACGCCTCTGGATGTTCTGTTTTTATCCACAATAGAAAACATACTCCCTAATCATGGAGCAGCCATTCTGGTGGTTTCTTTACTGCATTCCCCCAGATACAGTCATGTTCTAGGGAGGCATGGTACCTCTCCCAGGCCTCTCCAGGTTTCTGAAAATCTCAGAGTAAAGTCCCAAAGTGGTGGAAATCTATTATCTCTTTTTTCTCTCTCTCCCTCTTCCCTTTCCACTTTCTCTCCCTTCCCACTGTTTTCTTTCTACTCTCTCTCCTCTTGAAAGGCTTACAGACTTGTTGTGTGGTGTTTGGTATCCAGTGTACGATGACGACCAAAGAACTATAAAAATACCAGCAACCACATCATTTCACTACTGTAATTTTAGTTTTAGATTCAGTGGTTATGGAGGAAAAATCTCCTCACCCACACAATTTTTAATCTTGAAAAGTCATAAAGATTTGGGTAATGTATTTTAGCCAAATAACAAACTATTTTAAGATGAAGATTCCCAGGAGAGTAGAGGCAATTGCTTTGCAAAGGGCAGGGCCTGATTTTTGTTGACAGTCTGGTTTGTTGTGATGGCCACTGGTGGGTAAAGCTGAGCTAAAATTCCTTGTGGGAAGTTTTACAAATATACAATAGGGTAAATATACTGTGTGTGAGCAGAGAACTCCCACCCCACAGCTGGCCATCATCAGGAGGGACTTAGTTGAGTTTCCCAAGTGGAGCATTCTGGTCTCAGGAGGAATATCTGCTTCAAAGAAGGGGTAGAAAAAAGTGTGCGCTTGCTTCTCATTGCTGTAAGAGAGCAGTCGTTCAGGATTTGAGCCACAGCACGTAGAAACTCACGTATCTACCTGTAACGTGGGAATCTAACATAATTACTTTAACGAGTCCTTCATCATATGATAACTCTGAGATATATGCTACCTCAAAAATGGTAGTAATACACACACACACACACACACACACACATGTAATTAACAAAAATAGGACTCAGAAAGCTTGTCCAAAATAAGGCAGTAAATTAGTATCTATGCTTTAACTCAAACCGGGGTCTAACTTTAGAGCAGAAACAGATTAGCATTAGTATAAACTCACACACACACACACACAGAGACACACACACACACACACACACACAAAGATCAATTTTGAAGAAAAGTTTTGACTGAAAGTCCAAATATTTTTAAAAGGGTATAAATGCAATTCTGAACAACAAATATCTACCTTAAAAATCTGCCTTAGGGGGCTGGAGAGATGGCTCATAGGTTAAGAGCACTGACTGCTCTTCCAGAAGTCCTGAGTTCAATCCCCAGCAACCACATGGTGGCTCACAACAATCTGTAATGAGATCTGATGCCCTCTTCTGGTGTGTGTCTGAAGACAGCTACAGTGTACTCACATACATAAAAATAAATAAATAATATTTAAAAAAAAAAAAAAAGAATCTGCCTTAGGGCTGTGGAGTTAGCTCAGTATGTGAAGTCTTTTGCCACGAAACCTGATGACCTGAGTTTGATCCCTGGGACCCACATGGTGGAAGGAAAGCAAAGTCTCCTAAAAGTTGTTCTTTGACCTCTTTATGTGTGCTGTGGCATGCACACACACCTTCTCCACAAATAAATGTAATTCTAAAAAAAAGCAATAATAGGAAGCTAGCAACAACAGGGTTATGTAATAAAGGCAGCTATGTGATCCCATCACACTCCCCAGACACCAGAGCCTCAATCTCTGCTCCCCACTCCTCCACTCCCCTCCCCTCCCCTACCCCTCCCCTTCCCTCCCCCCTCCCCTCCCCCCCCCTTCCCCCCCCCTCCTTTCCCCTTCTCTTCCTTTTTTTCTTTGAGACAGGGTCTCATGTAGCCCTGGCTGGCCTGGAACTCACTACATAGACCATGCTGGCCTTGAACTCATAGATCTTTACCTCTGCCTCTTGAATTCTGTGATTAAAGATGTGCAACACCATTTTGATCAACAAAGATCTGCCTTGGGAATCTGCCTGAGGGCTATGGGGTTGGGTTAGTGGGTAAAGTCTTTTGCTCCCACTCTTACTGACATCTTGGTTACTTCTCCTGTTGCTATGGCTAAATACCTTAATAAAAGTAACAGAATAGGGAGAGTTTACTTTGGCTCACAGTTCAGGTTACTGTCTATTAATCCAATGAAAGTGTAAGACAGCAGATGCTAAAATGGGCTGGTCACACTGCATCCACACTCAGGAGGCAGAACACAATGAACACTAGTGCTCACCCTACTTTCTCTTTTTTTTTTTTTTTTTTGGTTTTTCGAGACAGGGTTTCTCTATGTAGCCCTGGCTATCCTGGAACTCACTCTGTAGACCAGGCTGGCCTCGAACTCAGAAATCCACCTGCCTCTGCCTCCCAAGTGCTGGGATTAAAGGCGAGCGCCACCACCGCCCGGCTTCTCACCCTACTTTCTCCTTTTAATACAGTCCAAGATCCCAGCCCACAGAATGGTTCCGTTCTCAGTGAATGGGTGTTCCCACTTAACCTTAATCAAGACAATCCCTACGGCCACGCCCAGAGCCATCTGCCAGGTGAGTCTAGAGCTCATCAATCTACAACTGAAATTAATTATCATCACACGCTGTCTGTGGATGTGACATTAACATCTGTTTTGTTTTGTTTTGTTTTTTGAAACAAGGATTCAATTGTGTAACCCTTAGATGGCCTGGAACTCACTATATAGACCATACTGGACCCAGTTCACACAGATCTGTCTGGCTCTGCCTCCTAAGTGCTGAGATGAAAGGTGGGTGTGTACACGCCATCACATCTGATGACACGCTTGTTAACACCTAACAGTGAATGGTGAAATCTTTTTAACATTTATCTATGAGTTGTGACAGCTTGTTAACAGATATCTCTGAATGGTATCATCTTGTTAATGGTTTTGTATAAATGGTGGCATCTTAACAGCTATCTATGAATAGTGACACCTTGTTAATATCTAATTTATATATACATATGACCATATATGCACACACACACACACACACACACACACACACACACTACAGATACCAACCTCTTAGATAGTCTAAAACAGCTCTTAGAATGCTTATACTTAAGCCGGGCGGTGGTGGTGCACGCCTTTAATCCCAGCACTTGGAAGGCAGAGGCAGGTGGATTTCTGAGTTCGAGGCCAGCCTGGTCTACAGAGTGAGTTCCAGGACAGCCAGGGCTACACAGAGAAACCCTGTCTCAAAAAACCAAAAAAGAAAAGAAAAGAATGCTTATACTTTCTGTTAATGAAAAGACCAGTGTCTTTTATGTAGCAGTTCTTTTCCTGAATCTTTGCAGATCTCAGTGGAAGTGTCACCAATACCAGTAGACAGATGCCTAACATACATTGCATGTTAGAATTAAAAAACAAAGACCCATAGGGTTGGGAAGATGCTCAGAAGTTAAGAACACATACTGCTCTTACAGAGGACTTGAGCTTGATTTCCAGCATCCACATCCACCTGCTCACAACTCACAACTGCCTGTAACTCCAGGCCCAGGGCACTGCACTCATGTGCACACACACACGGGGGGGGGGGAGGGAGGGAGGGAGGGAGGGAAGGAAGGAGGGAGAGAGAGAGAGAGAGAGAAGAGAGAGAGAGAGAATTAAAAATAAAAATAAAGTCTAATGTAGCATCCCATAACTCTAAAAAAGGTATTTTATATTCACAGATTCATGAAACAAATTTGCACAGGAATGTGCCACCATGCCTACTAAATATACTTTTTTTCTCAACTTTAGGGCTAGACTAGTCACAAAGTACCCTAATGACTGCCAGTATGAGGATGATTTTTTTTGTGTTCTAGCAAGGCTTACTGCCATCATGAGGACTGAAATCATAACCTTCTACAGTGCTCAACCAATGAAATACAATACACCGCTACTGCTTCCCAGAAACAACGATGCCCTAAAGATGCACTGACCAGATCTCTAGATGCTTTGACAACTTGAGAAAGATAGACAAGAACTACAAGGCATCGAGAAGATGCCCAACAACTCCTCCAGCCAGCAAAGCCTCAGTCCTCTCAATGCTCAGCCAGCATCGCTTTGGAACTGACCTCTATACACGCCTGCTGTCTGGCAGACTATCTATCTCTCCCTTTCAGATTCTGTGTAGGAGCACAAATACACACTTAAGATCCTAAGGAGAGGGCTGGAGAGATGGCTTAGTGGTTAAGAGCACCGACTGTTCTTCCAGAGGTTCTGAGTTCAATTCCCAGCAACCACATGGTGGCTCACAACCATCTGTAATGGGATGCAATGTCCTCTTCTAGTGTGTCTGAAGACAGTGACAGTGTACTCATATACATAAAAAAAAAATCCTAAGGAGATATTAGCTTCTAGGATCCCTCAGTCCTGCTGCACACAATTCAAGCCCATGGTTATGGTGAGCCCTACTGATCAATACAATAGCAGAAGACTAACTGCACTGAACCCCACATGAATCACACTGAGGCCCAAACTGGAAATTGACATCACTGAAGTTCCCACTCCTCCACCAAGCAGTCTATTCCCACCTCTTTGAATCATTTTTCAAAAAACTGATGCCACTCACTACCATCTCTAACCAATGGGTCATACAAAACAGCTATCACTCAGATTCCATGCTAATTTACCTAAGTATCCAGTTATAAAAACTGAGGAGACAATGCTATCATGGAAATAATTTTAAACAGTCCGAAATGTATTAGTTTTCCTCTTGAAAACCAGTTTGCATTGAGATTTCCCAAATGTTAAAATATTAAAGTACTTCCAGACTGCAACTGCCATAATAAACTTGAAAAGTAAATTAATAGCAAACATTTGTAAAAAGGAAAAAGGAGGGAAAATGACATTTACCACTTCCTGAGATGCATAGTGAGGGTCCTCTGGGTTGACTGACCAATAGCAGTAATCAAAACCAAATGCCACAACCTTCTCCCGGGTGTCTCCAAAGCGCTCTGGTCGACTGTCCACCTAAAATTAAGCACAGAATCCAGTTTCTTCCTTGTTGTATCTCTGGAATCTGGACAGGAGCTCTTGATTATGTTCTCCTGTAGTTACAGAGACCTAGACTAACTCCTGGAATGTTTATCACAGCCACAAAAGAAGAGAGAGAACACTTGTCTCCATCTCATTAGAAACAAATAGAGACCCAAGGAACTAAATATGCCTATGACACTAACGTGTCTCCTGCTTACAAACACATGAGCTCAGGAGAGAAAGCCTGTAAGGGACATCTTCCTCACTCACCTCTTCCCTAAGGATTTCTGCAGAGGATATTGACAGCAGATGAGCAGTACAGCCCCTGGGTCCAAAAGATTCCATCAATCTGGAGCTTTTATTGAAAGCTCTTGAAGGAATGAACTGTCGGTGTCTTTGACATAAATGACCAGGAATAATCCAAAGGCAGAGGAGTGTAGGGCCAAAACTTGGAACTGTACTGAGTACTGGGGAGAATGGCATTCTTTACAGAAATGCCTAGTCTTAATATTTAAATGTACACTCTGGCTTTCAGGTGACAATGGTCTCTGCGTGAGAACATGCCTCTTGCAAAGATCTCTTTCATCCTCTCCAAAGAGTAAAAGAAACTCAAGAATGAACCCCCCTAATTCCTACTTCACAGATGTAAAATGGGCAGGATACTACAAAATGACCATAGCCTGTAGGCATGCTTTGTGTGCTGGCTGCTCCATTCTCCTCTGCCAGGCTCCAGGAGGCAAAGTAAGGCTCCTTGAGGAGCTCCTTGAGGAGAACTCAGCACTAAGAGAGCCCAGGTAAAGATTAAGGGAACATATACTCTCAATACACATTTTATATAAGAATAAAGCTTGAAAAGGGAAAGGCAACTCTGACACTAGCCATTCAGAAACTACAGAAGAACCTGGTTGTCATGAGTAAGAGCTGGTTTGTAGATAACTGACTTTAGGGAAGTCAATAGCCAAGGTGTGTAGAGGGAAAACTAAAGTTTGTTCTTCAGGACTGGAGAGATGGCTCAGAGTCTGGCTGCTCTTCCAGAGGACCCAGGTTTGATTCCCGCACCCATATGGTGGCTCATAACCATCGGCAACTCCAGGCCCAGAGAGGAGATCTGATGCCCTCTTCTGGCCTCCTAGAGCACGAGGTACACACCTGGTTCACAGTCATATACATAAAATAATAAATAAATATTTGTTTAAAGTTCCTTCTTGACCAAGCCTATTCTCTAGACCCAAAAGTACAATGAAGTGGATTAGCAAGAGAGGTAAGTAAGAGGAGGCAGAGAGAGAAAGGTCCTGTCTTCCTGGAGCTCCTGTTTAAACTTTGGCAGGGCCCATTCTCTTTTAATAAGAGCTAATGTCAAGAGGAAACAAATCACATCACAGAAGTTACACAAGAGAGGGCATAGCTCTGAGGCTGGGGTCTATAACCTCTGCTCTGCCTCAGCTTCCTCAGTTCTTGGCAATGCTGGCTAACACCACAAGCTAGCTACAGCAGCTGTCATGTGGTCACTTTCTTGGCTTCTTTCCACTGTTCAAGGTCCACAAAAGGAGAACACATTCATCTTCCACATCAGGAAGGGTGGAGGAAGTTGACTCTAGGAGAGGGTGCAGAGGAAGAAGGAAGTCCCCTGTGCCTGTCCACTTGTGCTCTGAAGCTGAACAGGGCTGTGGAAGAACATCTGCACCAAGACTCAGGCTAGTGGCCTTCTGGGATCTGAAGGCTAACGTCTGATACCTAGACAACATTATGGTCAGAACAAACCCTACATTATCAGGTAAATGCTAAAATTCCTAAGGATGCCATGGATAAAGTATTATCAGTTGAGGGGCTCAGGATGAAGTTTAAGTGGTGGTCAGGTGAGTTATACAAACACACAAATTAGCCCTGGCATGAGTTAAGCTAATCATGGCCCTTATTACATCCCTGGGGTTAGTTTCAGAGTAGCTACTAATCAGTTTCCAAAACTGCTGCACTATTCTAGTTATCAGACCATGGACCAAAACACCACATCTTCTGGAGTCTAAGCACAATTATCTGTCGTTTATTTGCTTTATGATTGGTCCAAACTTTCCCTACAATCCTCTTACATCTCCTGCTCTCTCATATATTAAACATATTCACCCCAAGAGGCCACCTAATTATATAATAGTTCTTAATTAGGAAAAAAATTCAGGCTTACCTTTACATTCCTGATTTTTGCCACTTTGTCATCAACTTCCACAATAATTCTTCCCCCTTCTTTGGTCTCCCTAAGAAATAAGAACAGAATTTAAGTGAGGAAAAAAAACACTTTTTGTTTTCTGAGACAGATTCTCATGTATCATAAGAATCCTAAAAAAGCGGGGAAAAATAATGCATCCTGTGAAAAGTACAGGACAGTAGGGGCAGAGCAGAGACTGGGCAGATGTGTTCTTCAATGGTGAACGAGTCTGGACAGACAAGGACAGCATCTCACAATGACAAACAACTGAGGTCAAGGCTAGTGTTTCAAAACCACTTCTGTGCTGTTATTTTGTTCAAGGTCTTCTCTAGATCTATAGAACAACCTAACAAAGGAATAATTTTGAGCATCTCAGAAAGGAGCAGCATGGTGTAGCAAGTCAAATCCTGCTTTTAGAATTTAAACAAGACAATGTTCTCATTTGGAAAAAAAATAATGTTAGCTTTGGCTAGGTGACTTTAATGGATCCTTCACAAGTACAATTATCAGTGCTGATGACTTATTTGAATGTCAGTACAGACAATCAGCAGATTCTACACACACAAAACAGCCCCAATGAACAGTGGGTACTGCCACTATCTCTGCAGAATTCTGTGGGAATTGAAGAATGGTCTGGTATGAACTTCTTGGCTGAGATTGCACCGAGTGTTTACATAACTACCTCTGAGTCTATGGTTGTGAATCGGCAGCCTGCTAAAAATCTGCTCACACCCGGAGATCCGAGACTTGACAGTCTACCACTTATTCTCAAGGTTTTACACGGGGGCTACAAGTAAGTCTCCTGGTTTTCCATTTTTGTTGGATGAGATATGTTATTCTTAGCAGTGACTGCAAGTAACAAAGGAGTTTCAACATCATTTTCTTAATCTAATCCATGCTATTTGAAATTCCTAGTTTCCAAGGAACTAAAAAGTTAGAGTAAGTGGTTGATGTCGCTGTCCCTAAGAACCCTAAAAGACAGTTTGGAAAGAATGAGATCTATTAGCAGCTATCTCCTCTCAGACAGCAGCTACTCCCAGGAAGCCCCCAGCCCTGAGTCACCACAGGCAGTGATGTAAAGCCAGATGTTTAAAAACCATTTACCAATCAAACCACAGCAGTTTGGGGTACACTCTTCTGTGTTCCTCCCATCTCACTGCTCTCATTCTGTCAAAACTTTTCAAAGCAGATGGCCTCTACAAGGACAAACCTAACCCCACACAGAACCATTTTTGTCATAGGAGACAATGCCCTTTTTGACCTCAGTTTCCAAATACCAAATGATCTTGTGTACTGGACAGTTAAAAAAAATCTACCAATTCCAATATATGTTGTATGGTCTAGAACCACACTCTGCCAGTTTCATCACCTATCAATCTCCTGCTTCAACCCAAGCAGATGTCCAAGTCTTCCATCCAGACCCTAAGAGCCTAAATTTGCTTTCTCTTCCTGTTCTTAAAGAACTCTGCACTTCCCCTTGTCAGAAAACTCAAAGATCATTCAGAACAGCTTGGACACCAACTCTTGGGCAAAGCGTTCTCTGACTTTCCAAGTGAGAGGAAAAGAGGATGAAGCATGCACCTACACACTAGATGTCTCAAGGGCTGAGAGGTGCAGAATCAGACTCCTGCACTAGGAACTAGCACGGAGGACACCAAGAACAGGCGTTTGGAGAAACTTCCCCTATGTCACAGTTCAGTCTTTAAATCACACCAACTGCTGGGCACAAGTTGAAACCGTAGTCTCTCTGGGCCTCAATTTCCCTTCCATATCCTGAGAATTCTTTTTCCTATGTCCTCATGGAGCAATCCCATGTGTATATACTAACACACAGCCTCCAGTCCTCACTTGGGTACTCCCAGAACACCAAAAGGAGTGGAGTCTGCCCATCCTTTTGTATGTCCTCACGTCATGCTCCGTGAGAAAGGCCCTACTAGGTGCACCAAGACCCAAGCCAGGGTCCCTAGAAACCCTAGTTGGCAGGTCACCACGGACTTGCACACAGGGCATCGAGCCCTGGAGCCACACAGGAACCGCTATCTCCTAGGACGCGAAGTCCTATCCCTCCAGGCCTTCTGGACCCTGAGCCCCCGTGACAATTTGTGCCTAATTGTTTTTCTTCGCGCCAGTCCATCCTGAGGAAGGCAGGGATCTCGCGCTCCTCTCAGTTCACTTGACCCCTCAGGCGCCCCCTCTTGACAGACTCACCGCTTGCTGAGAGGCCGGACCCTCACGGCCACCTGCACATTCGCCATCCCTCTGCCACAACCCAAGACCCGCACAGCAGTCCGGCGGAAGCATCCCTGGCCGGCGTCCAGCGAACAGACCCAGCCTCGGGCACTGCAAGAGCCACAGACTGCCCCGCCCGTCCCACGCGCCGCCGGGAGGCAGCCCCAGCCTCGCCCGAAGGGGTGGGGCCCGCTAGGAGTCAACCAATCCTGAGACAGGTGGGTTGGGCCTCCTCGCCTCGCCCCACCCTCTCATTACTCCAGACGCTCCGGCTCCTGTGCAAGCAGACGCCCCGACAGGGGCGGGGCCTGCCGAGCCTTGGCCAATCTTGAGGTAGGTGGGATGGAACTCCTCGCCTCACGTCACCACCCTCAGGTCCCTGAACGCCCCCGCCCAAGTTCGTGCTACCCATCCCCGACAAGGGCGGGGCCCGCCAAGCCTCCCCCGATTCTGAGACAGGTGGGCTGGACAACCTGGTCTGGTTCCATGCTTCTCGCCTTAGACTCCCCCTACGCATGCTTTAGTACCTCTTTTGTTCTAAAATCTGGTGACTGAATTTTTGGTTAATACTTGAAAGTTCATGAAGGAAATTAGTAATTTTTTAAAATCCTATTAGCCTGCTATGTCAAAACTGCGGCTAAATTTTAAGGTCAAATATAAAGTGGAACCTATCGTGGAGCTCTGACCAAAATATTATTATTTTGAATTCAAGATCAGCCTACATGGTGATTTGAGGTCAGACTGGAGTACAGCGTGAAATCCGGTTTCAAAACAACAGCAATGAAGTGGGCAAAACGAATGATTTTGTAATTCCAAAATGTGTTTAATGAAGAGGCATTTTCTTTTCTTTTCTTTTCTTTTCTTTTCTTTTCTTTTCTTTTCTTTTCTTTTCTTTTCTTTCTTCCTTCCTTTCCTTCCTTCCTTCCTTCCTTCCTTCCTTTCTTTCTTTCTTTCATTCTTTCTTTATTTCTTTCTTGTTTTTTCCTAACTTACTAGCAAGTTTCTGTCTATTGGCCTGGAACTTCACTGCCGCCATAGCAGTATTTATAGTACATACAGAGCACATTGCCGTCTAATCAGAACTGGTTTATTCAAATAAGAAATAGCTTTTTTTATCTGTAAGGCCTCAAGCCCAGCTGGAAGGTGAAGGGAGCAAAACCCCTTCACCACCAGTGGTGCTGATGAACGCTTAACAATTCCAACAGTGGGGAGTTCCAAGACCATCACATAGGAAGTTCCTGTATCACACACACACACACACACACACACACACAAAACAGAAACAAGGGTTGGTTTCTGATGGTGACAAATTTGTGTCTACTGAAGACTTCTGAATCTTCAGACATCATGATTAGAGAGGGGTGGGGGTAGGGTTAGCCATTGTATTGTTAACATTACTGTTAGAGCTTACACAAGCTGGACAGTGGTCCTGCAAGCCTTTATTTAGTCTTAGAAATTGAGGCAGAGGCAGGTGGATCTCCGTGAGTTTGAGGCCTGACTGCTCTACAGAGCAAGTTCCAGGACAGCCAATGCTACACAGAGAGTACCTGTCTCAAAAAACAAAACAAAACAAAACAAAACAAAAAAAGAAAAAAATAAGAGAGGAAGAAAGGAAGGGAGGGAGGGAGGAAGGAGGGACATTCACACACAAAGCCAAGACAAACAAGAAACACACAAAAAAAAAAAAACAAATTCACTTCCTTCACGGGAACTAGGATCTTATGGAAAAGGAAATAAATATCTAAATGTGTGTAATATTGTGCAGGAAGTGCAAAGGAAAATAAAAGGGAACAAAAGAGTGACAGCCTTAATGTAGCTAGAGACAGTTACTATTCTATACAAATTCTTTTTTTTTCTTTCTTTTTTTTTATTGGATGTTTTATTTACATTTCATATGTTGTCCCCTTACCACATCACCCACCCACCCAGGAACCCCCTATCCCCTCACCCCTCCTCCTTCTTCTCTGTGGATGTAGCCTCTATCTACCCCCCCACCTCCCCACCCTCAAAATTCCCACCCCCTGGGGCGTCCAGCCTTCATGAGGTCAAGGTTCTCTTCTTCCACCTATGCCCAGCAGGGCCCTCCACTCTTACATATTCAGCTAAAGCCCTGGATCCCTCCCTAAGTGCTCCCAGGCTGGTGGTTTAGACCCTGGGAGCTCAAATTCTTAATGTAGCTAGAGAAACAGTTACTAGTCTATACAAATTCTTAATGTAGCTAGAGACAGTTACTATGTTACTATTCTATACAAATTCTTTTTTTTTTTTTTTGGCTTTTTTGAGACAGGGTTTCTCTGTGTAGCAATGGCTGTCCTGGAACTCACTCTGTAGACCAGGCTAGCCTCGAACTCTTGAACTCAGAAATCCACCTGCCTCTGCCTCCCAAGTGCTGGGATTAAAAGCGTGCGCCGCCGCCACCACCACCACCCAGCTCTATACAAATTCTTAATGTAGCTAGAGAGACAGTTACTAGTCTATACAAGTTCTTAAAGTACTCACTGATAGCAGTGACACTCTAATATTTTTGAGGAGAGTAAGGCTGGGGAGTTATTCAGAGACTGTTAGTTCATAGTACTTCCTAAGCAAGCCTCTATTAAGGCAGGCACTGTTCTAAGCAATCAGAACATACCTGTCTGGGAAACCTCTGACCTCACAGAACTGGGAAAGTAGACTAATGGGTAAAACAATTTTAAAAAATGTTTAATCGTGCAGCAAATTAAAATTTAAAGTATGTTTTAAAAACCAAGAACAGGGGGCTGGAGAGATGGCTCAGAGGTTAAGAGAACTGTCTGCTCCTCCAGAGGTCCTGAGTTCAATTCCCAGCAACCATGTGGTGGCTCACAATCATCTATAATGAGATCTGATGCCCTCTTCTGGCCTGTAGGCATACATGAAGGCAGAATGCTGTGTACATAATAAAACATTAAAAAAAGTACTGGAGATGTGAGAAGGAAGAAGCAGAAATTCTCTGGAAGAATGTCATTGATTAAAAAAAAAACAAAAAACAAAAAAATAAAACAAACAAACAAGCAAAACAAGTTGTTAAGAGAACAGGATCATGAAGCCATGCAATAGGAGGGGTGTGTAATTAGAGTCCTGCTTCAGTTGAGGCAGAATTATTTTGAGTTCCATGCTATCCTGGACTGCATAACAAGACCTGGTATCAAAATAAAACAAACTAACAACAAAACAAAAGCCATACTGTTGTGTGAACGGACAGACGGAGCAGGTCAATGTAAGGCCTCATGTATGTAAGACAGCCTTCATGGGGGTAGACGGAGGTGCAGAGCCAGGATCATGGAATTAACATGAGGTCACAAGTCCTCTCTGGGCTTTATTCGGTGAATTGGGAAACATAGGAAAGTTTTGGAGAAAAGAGTAAAATTATTTGACTTACATGTTCTAATTTTCAAATTGGTGTGTGTGTGGATGTGCATGCCATAGAATGTGGATGGAGGTCTGTTGCAGGAACCTTTCCTGCCCATTGTATTTGCAATGGAGCTCTGTGATTGGGCAGTAGGAGAGGTAGGTGTAGCTAGGAGTTGACAGGAGGAGGGAGAAAGGAAGAGGGAAGGGAAGGAGGAGGAGAAGCAAGATGGAGGCAGACGTAAATGCCTCTAGGAGTCTCGGGTAGTTATTCATGTTGAAAGGTTAGCTATTGGGTCAATAATTCTGATTGTGTGGGCATCTTGTGTATTGAGCATTTGCTAATATATAAATCCATTGGATAATCTTTAAGCATTAAGAGTCTTCTTTCTACAGGGTACTAGGAAAAAATATCTACCACATGGGGATGGTGGAGTTGGCCCTTGAGCCATGCTTAGAGCCATAGACTCCACAGAGCTGACTGGCAGAGACAGCAGTCATGCTAACATCTCATGGAGCCAAGGCCAGCGCTCCCGGGCTGGCGCCTTTGCTTTTTCCAATATATCCCGCTACAGAGGTCACCATCTTTGGGAGTTCAGACACTCCAGCTGGGCTTGACTGTTTACATCCCCTCATGGAAGGCAGGGGAATTCATGGGATCAGCAACTGGGTATTCAGCCACTCTAAACCATCTGTTGCATGTAATTCTGCCCTAATTGCACTTAACATGGGCAGAAGTTAGAGTGCATAGACGAGGTGGGAGGGAAAGGGCTGTCTTCTATCCATACAGCTATGGGAAAACCATCATCCCTGCTGGTAAAGACTGTCTTTTAGGGAGAAGGGAACCCATAATCCTATAAGTAACCCCTTACCCATGTTCTGTAAGGAAGCCCAATAAACTTATTAGCACCCCTAGAGTAAACCTAGATTAAAAAAATATATAATGTTCCAATTATGTCATGCTCTATATCCTGATAATAAAAATATTATTTCAGCAGTAGTTTTTATTGCAAATCAGCATGAATAGAGAACCTCTCCTGGAGACTCTGTTTGTTGTTCAGTCCTAAGGAAAAATAGACATTGCTTATTGCTTATGTCACCCTCTGAGAAGGAATTTTAGCAATGAAGGACAACTTGGCAGTCATGTGGGTATCAGCTATCAAACTCAGGTCTGCAGGTTTGGTGGAATGAGCCTTTACTGGCTGAACAGGACCCTGATGTCTCCCTTTAAAGGACTACTCTAAACCTGGCAGTGGTGGCGCACGCCTTTAATCCCAGCACTTGGGAGGCAGTGGCAGGCGGATTTCTGAGTTCGAGGCCAGCCTGGTCTACAGAGTGAGTTCCAGGACAGCCAGGACTACACAGAGAAACCCTGTCTTGAAAAATAAAAACAAAAAAGGACTACTCTGACTGGTGTGGAGACTAGTCTGAGAAGTGAGTTGTGTAGAGCCCAGGGACCAGTCAGGAGGCCTCTTTAGCACTCTGGAGGCAGAACTAGAACTATGAGTCATGTAGGCTCCTTTTTATTGTCCATTTGAAAGCACCAATAGAGTAATGTACTAGACAGCTGGTTCAGAATTTAGACTCATTTGGAACCCCAGTCTCCAGGAAAGGTTCTCTATTCATGCTGAAATAATGTATTTATTGTCAGGATATAGAGCATGACATAATTGGAATATTATAATTTTTTTAAATCTAGGTTTGTTTTCTTAATTTTTTTTTTTTTTTGGTTTGTTTTTTCAAGACAGGGTTTCTCTGTGTAGCCCTGGCTGTCCTGGAACTCACTCTGCAGACCAGGCTAGCCTCGAACTCTTGAACTCAGAAATCCACCTGTCTCTGCCTCCCAAGTGCTGGGATTAAAGGCGTACGCCACCACTGCCCAGCTTTCTTATTTTTTTTTTAAAGATTTTTATTTACTTTTGTCTATTTCTTTACTTTATGCATGAGTATTTGGCTGCATGTACACATGCATGCCAGAAGAGGGCACCAGATCCTTTTATAGATGACTATGAACCACCATGTAAGTGCTGGGAATTGAACTCAGAACCTCTGGAAGACCAGCCAGTGCTCTTAACCACTGAGCCATCTCTCCAGCCCCTATAATTTTTTAAATTATTTCACTCAAGGCTAGGGAGGTAGCTCAATTGGTCAAACGTATGCCTGGCATTCACAAAGCCATTCACACAGAAATTGGGTGCAGTGGCACATACTTGTTATCCTGGCATTAGCAAGGGTCTGCAAATCCCAGGCCAACCTGGGATATATGAGACCTTGTTTTAAAAACACACAAACAAAAAAAAAAAAAAACCAAGACAATACAACAAAAACCTCCCAAACAAAAACAAAAAAGCCCACTTCACTCATAAATATTTTAGTATGCATTTTTGACATAACCACAATACCATTAACTATCAAATATACTGGTTCATTACTGGCATCAAAACTTCAAAGTCTAGGTTTCTACTCGTCTTCACAACTCATGCCTTAATCTGTTAAAATTAAGATTAATAATCTTAATTTTATTTATTCTCTGAATAAACCCCAATTTTTCTTACAGGTAAGAGGAATAAATATTTTTATTAATATTTTTTAGAGACAGCATCTTGCTGTGTAGCTCAGGCTAGCCTGGGACGCACACTTGTCATCTCTTTGTCTTGCCAACTCAACCTCTGGGAATATGTGCCCTGGGCTTGGTCCTCAGCACTGCAAATCACACCCTCTCACTTACTTGAGACTGAACAACTTTTTTAGATTTGTGTACATGCACATATTCATGTTTGTGCATGTGTGCTCAGGACATGGACACACAGGCTATCTTCCTCAGTCACTTCTCACTGTATTTTTTGAGACAAACCGCTCACTATATCTGAAGCTCACCAATTTGGCTAGATAGGCTGGCCAGCAAGTCTCAGAGCTCCTCTATCTCTGCTTCCCTAGCACTAGAATTACAGGTATGTGCCTGGCTTTTACATGGAGGCTGAAAAAAGCCCTCATGCTTTTGTGGCAAGCACTTTACTGATAAGAGTGATCTTCCCAAATCCCATTTAAAACTTTTTTTTTCAGACAGAATTGTCTATATAACCCTGACTGTGCTGAAACTGGAACTTGGTATGTGGACTGGCTAGCCTCAAACTCACAAGACATCGACATAGTATCGGACATAGTATTAATTGTAGCCTCTGCTACAATGACATGTGCCACCATACTGGGGCTCTTAAACCTTTTCCTTTTATTTTCTTTCTGTGTATGAATGTTTTTGCCTTAATGTAAGGTCTGTACACCTTGTCAGTAGGCCATTGGGTTCCCCTGGGATTGAAGTTATAACAGTTGCCATACTGGGAGTCAAACTTGGACCTTCTGAAGAGCAGCCAGTGCTCTTTACTGCTGAGCCATTTCTGTAGCATCTTTTATTTTTCATTTGTTTTACAAACATCTGAGAAAATCTCATATGTGATGACTCATACTAACTCATTACAGTATCAACTATATTTTGGCTTCTTCCCCACTCTCTCCCTATATGGTTTCTTCAAGTCTCCTGACTTCACTGAAACTCCAAAAGGACAAAAATGAGAGCTGAGGGTAGCAGTCACAGGCCAGAGAAATAAAGAGCTACAAAAGCCAGGAAGAGTCATCCCAAATAGTCTACAAATTGACATAATTATTCTAGAATCACACTGACAAATCTCACATACCTATTCTAATGTAAGTAGAACATGCACATTCCTGATTTTTTTTCATTATCTACATGTAGAAGCCGAATTTTAAAACTTGACCAAGGCCAAGTAGTAGTGGCACATACCTTTAATTCCAGCACTTGATAAGCAGAGGCAGGTGGTAGATCTCTGAGTTTGAGGCCAATCTGGTCTACAAACCAAGTTCTAGGACAGCCAGAGCTGTTATACAGAGAAACCCTGTCTCAGAAACAAAAACAACACAAACAAAAAAAGTTTGATCAAATCCTCGTGGCTAAGCCTGCTTGCCTGACATCCCCACCTCCAACTTCCCCTGCTAGGCCTGCATGCTTATTTATTTCTATAGGTGTAGGACTGTGGTCAAGTGTGGAAGTCAGAGGAGAAACTTGGGTGTTAGTTCTCACCTCTCTTAACAGGATCTCTTGTTTGCAGCTTCATATGGGAACTAGCTGGCCTTCCTTTTGCCTCCCATTTAGCTGTAGAGTATCCAGTTCTATGTGGGTTCTGGGGATTTGTACTCAGGTCCTCACCCTTGCCTGTGAACTTTTGCCCACTTAGTCACCTCCTCAGCTCTTGCCTGTTTTTTTTGCTAACTCATAGCTTTCTCTTCTTGTCCATCTTCTTCTTCCATGAAACTGTAGAGATCTACAGCTTACCTATCCTTAGAACTGCCCTCAAATTTCACAAAAATAAAAATAAACACTTGTTCAATCCAGATACAATGACAATTGTACAATGTATTACCAATATTTGGCAAGCAGAGGCCAGAGGATTGTTGAATCCAATTCTCTCTCCATCCCAGGTAACTGTCTTCTATAAACCAACTCACTCTACTTATTGACCACACTAATATAAAATAAGCCTTTCTCTCTATATTAGAATAGATAGGCTTAACTTACTTTAAGCTTTTGTGAGTCAGATAACTTGAATGCTTCTCTGTTGTATGTGTTAAGCTAAGAGTATTTTTTTTTCTGTTACTTGGGATTCATATTGGAGCCACATTTAGTTGAAATTCGTTTATTTTTACAGCTTGAGTCATTAATAGAAATAAAGATTACAAAACTACAAAGAACACTGATAGTGACAAAATAATGAATATGTTTATACATAAAATACACAAAAATTCATACAAGGAAAATGAATAGATGTTAAAGGAGATTTGAGATGAAATATAAATAAGGACTTTACTGACTTGTCTATGTGAAGATCAAAATCTCCACACCATCCTTGTATGGCACATGTATAAAGGCTGGAGACTGTAAAGACAATCATCTGTTGCTTTAACAGGGACCTGTGGGGGTAAAGATCCTGCTTCCTTGTGAACATCTACTTTACTATCCACCAAGAGTATGATGAGCAGGTTCGCTAAACTCCCACAGTGCAGAATGCAACAGTAAGGAAATCTTGATGCACACATTTTAAAGGAAAACAGATCTCAGTTTAAACATAAGGCAGAAGTACTTACAGTACTGATATAAATGAGAAAATCTTGGGACAGTTGTTACAATCTCTACTTTAAGTACACTAGCTTCCATCTTAAGAATAGCCCTAAGAGTAGATAAAATATATCAGTATTTTCCATTACAACCCTCTAAACTTTAGCCAGATATGATGCCACATGTCTGTGATTTCAGCACTTGGGAGGCTGAGGCAAGGAAAATGTGTTTGAGACCAGCCTGGGCTACACAGTGAGTTTAAGTTCTACCTTGGCTACATATAGGAAGTACAAAAACAAAAACTTCTAAATTGTTAAAGAAGACAGTGTTTCTTCTCTGTTGGCCCCAAGTCCGCCAGCACACATCCACAGCATTTATTTCCCAGGCAGTCCTAAGAATACAACCAAGTCAGTGAGTGATCTGCTAAGAGGAGTTATGAGACTTAGTGTCATCACACTCACGGCTGTGACTTAGCACAGCAACTCAACTGTTACATTTGTTAACTGCTCTCTACCACCAAAACTATTAGGGATGAGGTGCTCTGCAATGCTGCCAGGGACCAGGACCAAAAGTACATTCTACTTGGTATGAACCAACATCCTAGACTCTCAGAAGGAAAGAAAGTATCCCACACAAACTACATTGTACAGTCTGATCGCATTGAGCTCTTCTCATCCTCTTATTACAGAAGTTTCTAGATGGGTCAGCTAAGAAATCACCACTTTATGAAGTCTTCAAAGGATAACAGTCCTGGTGCGTAGCTATTCTTCAACCTCACAGGAATAATCATGACAGTTTTAGACTCAGGAACATTTCAATTCAGAAATGTTTTTAAAAGATGTAATGCAGTATCATAATACAAAATCTTCTATCTGAAGAATGTTCAACTCGCTTATAATAAATTATCATACATATAGTTGATCAATTTTAAGCTTCACTGAAGAGAGTGAAAACATGTAAAAAAGGTCAATTTGATCCTAATGAACCTAAAATTCTGGTACTCCACTGTGCTCTCTCTTACTTTCATTTCTCTATTTTGTGTGTATAGGTACATACATATGATGACACATGTGTGGACATCACAGGATCAAATATCTGTGGGAATCTGTGATCCTCTTCTGATACATGGATCCCAGGGATTGAACTCAGGCCGTGAGGCTTGAAGCAGGAGCTTTTCCCACTGAGACATCTTTCTGGCTCTGCTATTCCAATATTAAGAAGGCTCTTTCAGTGTTGCTAGCAACAAAACCTATCAATATCCCTGTCATAACAATCTAGAAATGGACTTCTTTGACTGCATGTAATAAATCGAAAGTAAAGATGGCATCACTTGGCATTAGAGGTTTCAGTGTAAGCCTTAAGAAAAAAAGGTAAAGGAGGCACTATATCAAGTTCATGAAGATGACTTTCTTCAGTTAGCATTTTGGGGATATACAGGGAAATTTCCTTTTGTAGTTCTCGCCACTTGAGAATATTCTCTGTCAGTTCTTCTGTCTTGTTCACCAAAATATCCATCTTAGCTAGAGCTTTGCTCTGTAACATTTGAGATAAAGAAAAATAGAAAAAACTTGTTATTGATTACAGAAATAAATACTTCAAAAATTAGCATCTGATCTTTTTCTAGTCCTTTTTTTTTTTAATTTTTTTCCTCTAGATTTTTTTTGTTTTTGTTTTTTGTTTTGTCTTTTGTTTTGGAGACAGGGTTTCTCTGTATAGCCTTGGCTGTCCTGAAACTCACTCTGTAGACCAGGCTAGCCTTGGACTCAGAAATCCCCCTGCTTCTGCCGCCCAAGTGCTGGGATTAAAAGTGTGTGCCACCACTGCCCAGCTTTCTAGTCCTTTACTGCAAAAATTCCTTAAAACTGTGGATTGGGATGGGGGTAGGGAGAAAGATGAAGGTGGGCTAGGGATGGAGATGTAGAATTCTGTTTAGACATCAAGACTGTAGATACGAGTAAGTACAAGAGCCAAAAGAAACATCCCTTGTAGGAGTCTGGAAATACAGAAAAATGTATGGAATGGAAATGTCAATTTAGGACTTGTTAGTGTGTAAATGGGATTAGAAACCTTGCCACTAAAACAAACAAACAGAAGACAAACCAACTGTGTGTCCACCCCCACCCAACCCAGCCTTACATATGTCTGTCTGTGAGTTCACGTCTCCTCTGCCATCAGTTTGAACTCTGCTTTCTCAGTACATGTTCCGTTTCGTCCTCCCTTCTCCTCATCCCTTATCCACATATAGGCATGTGTGTGACACCAAAGTTGTCTTAAACTGACTCTAAAGGTATAGTGATTGAAGTCTGCAATTCTGAAATTTTCTTTTCTTCTGGTGCTGGGGATGGAGCAAAGGCCTTTCAGGTACTAGGTAAGCACTATAGAGTGGACCCTTGACCCTCAAAGTCTGTGTTTCTAACATACTCCAGACGGTAACGATCCTCTCCGTCCATACTAGGGCTCAATCTAGTCTATTCAATATTTGCCCCATGAGTAAAAGACAGTTCTGACTAATCCACTCCTGTATTTTTCTTTAAAAACTGAAAATGGACTGGAGCAACAGATTGGCTGCAAGAGTACACTTGTTGCTCTACTAGAGGACCCAGGCTTGATCCCCAACAACCACAGAGCAGCTCATAATTATCTGTAACTCCAGCCCCAGGGGATTGATATCTTTTTCTGGCCTCTGAGAGCAGTAGATACACATGGCACACACAGATACATGCAGGCAAGACATTCATCCATATACAAAAAAAAAAAACAAAAATGAAAAACAATGGTCTAGAGACATGACTCAAAGGTTAAATGTGCTTCCTGTTCTTCAAAAGGACCAAAATTTGGCTCCCAGCAACCCTGTCAGATGGCTCACAACTGCCCTAAGGACTCTGACATGTCAGGCTTGCTCTCTCGTCTCTTCTCTCTCTCTCCCTCCCTCCCTCCCTGTCTCTCTTTCCCCCCTCCTCCTCCCTCCCTCTCTGTGATGCGAATGCACAAACATACACACATTTTAAAATAAAAAACAAAAGTAAAAACCATGACCTTCACTACCAACAAAAAATGCAATGGCACCCCAGTATTCAGAAAGTAAAGTCTAAGTTCTTAGTCTACTGGGAGGCTGAATTATGAGCACTTCTGTGAGCTCAAGGTCTGCCTGAGTCATATAGTGAATGCAAGGTCATCCTATGCTAAAAAATAAGAACCTGACTAAATAAATAAACCTCTTTTTGGTTTTTAAAGACAGAGTTTCTCTGTGAAACAGCCCTAGCTGTCACAATTACTAACAATTATAGGTACAAGGCACTATGCCTGGTTAAGAAAAATTATTTTTATGTTTCATGATTTTAATAATGACTAAGTCAAAGTGAAATAAGCCAAGCAAAGGACAAACACGGTAAGTCTTGTCTCGTATGTATATTCTATATTTGAATGGTCTATGTGTCTGCCTGCTACGAAAGTAAAAGGGAGACAGTGAGCAGAGAGGAAGAGACATTAAGGGCTGAGAGAGAGAGACTGAAAGAGTAACAGTTCATGTGACACGCAAACAAAAAGAGGCTCTATCTGGAGGAAGCGACAGGGCCAGGAGATCTGGATGGAGGAGATGAGAGAGGACAGCCACAGGAGAATGTACCAGAACAAAGGTTATCACACATCTATGTGATATTGCCATGATGAAATACATTGTTTGGTATCTTCGGGGCCTGAGGCTAGCCTGAGCTATATGAGACTATCTAAAAAATAAAACCAAGACCAAAAAGGTAAAAGGTAATACAAGGTAATACAGTCGAGATCCTAGTATAAGAACGGAGATCAGCTCTATTAATGATACTCACTATTTTCTTTAGGTTTTCTTCTAAATGAGGGATATTTCTAATTGTTTCAAGATGAGTCTCCAACTTCTCAATGAAAGTCACAGCCAGTTCCAACATATGCACCATATATCTGGAAGAGAATGTTACAATTTGAATGTAAATTTATCCCACAGGCTCCTGTGTTTGAACACTTGGTCCCTATTGGGTGATGCTGTTTGGGGACTTACTGGAGTTTGGGGCACTGGTAGATGTAGATCACTAGGGACAGACCTTGAAGGTGTTCTCCAGTTCCTAATCCACTGTGATGTGAACAAGCCATGCTGCAAGTTCCTGCCACCACAGATGGAGCTGCCCCAGCCACAGTCAGTGCCTTCCCTACCATGCTGGATGTATTACCTCTAAACTGTGAGCCAAGTCAAGCTCCTCTCTAAGTTACTTCTGTTAGGTATTCTGAGACAGAAGGAGAAAAACAATAACCTTTCTTCTTTAGTTGTTTTGTTTCTTTTCCTTTAATTAGGACTGTTAATTTGAAATAAGTAAATCTAATGAGTATCATTAACCTTTTAATGGAATTATCAGTGGTAAATAAGGTTCTTCTCTTTTACTTAGGGCAAAATTTAGGTTGTCATACAAACAGAAAAATGGAATAATCTAGGCATCATGGTATTTATCTTTAATTCCTGCACTCAGGAGGCAGAGGCAGGTGGATGTCTGTGAGTCCAAGGCCAGCCTAGTCTACAGACTAGTCTATAGCCAGGGGGACACAGAGGAACACCCCAAAGATTAAAAAAAAAATAGAAAGACATAGTCACGATAACTAAAATCTAACTCAAAGGAACTGGGTGTGTGGCACATCTTTATTCCCAGCACTTGAGAGGCGGAGGCGGAGGCAGGAGGATCTCTGTGACTCTGAGATCAGCTTGGTCTACATAGTGAGTTTTAGGCCAGCCAGCACTACATATTGAGTTCTATCTCAAAAAAAAAAAAAAAAGACAGAAAGGAAGAAAGAGAGAGAGAGAGAGAGAGAAAGAAAGAAAGAGAAAAAGAAGAAGGGAGGAGAGGAAGAGGAGGGTGACAACCTTCAATGGTTGGTAATAACCATCACACATAAAGCGACTTTCCTAAAAAAAACCTCATATTGGTTCAGATAACTGAAAAGACACCAGGGATAAATACACTGAAAAGTATCACATAATTTTTCTGAATCTGCATTGGTAAAATCCTCAAAGTCATTACTTAGCTCATCTTTTTTTTTTTTCCTCTTTTTTGGTTTTTTGAGATAGGGTTTTTCTGCGTAGCCATGGCTGTCCTGGAACTCAGAAATCTACCTGCCTCTGTCTCCCAAGTGCTGAGATTAAAGGCGTGCGCCACCAACACCTGGCTTAGCTCATCTTTTTGTTGTTGTTTTTGTTCTATTTTTAAATCACTTCCCCGAGACTGAGATATATTATCTATAGAAGTAAGTATAAAGTCCAATGCACAACTTTTTTCATCCTCAACTACACAACAAATTTGAGGCCAGCCTATATAAGACCCTGTTTCAAACAAAAAATTGTTTCCAGGTTTTGTGACCCTCTGATTCCCATCCTCTCTATCTTTCTTTTGTTTTTGTTTTTAAAATATATTTATTTTTATTTATTTTATGTATATGTGTACAATTATAGCTGTCTTCAGACACATCAGTAGTGGGCAGCAGATCTCATTACAGATGGTTGTAAGACATCATGTGGTTGCTGGGAATTGAACTCAGGACCTTTGGAAGAAGAGTCAGTGCTCTTAAGCACTGAGTCATCTCTCCAGCCCCCTCTCTATCTTTTGAGAGAAGGTCTTGATATGTAGCCCCGGCTGGCTGTATTGAAACTAGCAACTAGCTCTGTAGACCAGGTGGGCTTCAAACTCATAGAGATCCACCCTCTGCCACCCCAGTGCTGGGATTACAGGTGTGTATCACCATGGCTAGCTTCAGTTTTTGATTCTCTTATGGTTTTTATTTTCTCAAGACAGAGTTTCTCTGTATAGCCCTGGCTGTCCTGAATCTCACTCTGTAATCCAGGCTGGCCCTTTCTTTTTACCAGTTATATTTTAAAAAGAAAGGACACTTTCCAGTTTAATGCAGTAACACTTGTAATATTACATTGTTTTGTGAATTATGCTACAACATAATTGCCATGCTAAACAAAAGCTACCTTAAAAAGACATGCACAGCCGGGCAGTGGTGGCACACGCCTTTAATGCCAGCACTTGGGAGGCAGAGGCAGGTGGATTTCTGAATTCAAGGCCAGCTTGGTCTACAGAGTGAGTTCCAGGACAGTCAGGGCTATACAGAGAAACCCTGTCTCGAAAAACCTAAAAAAAAAAAAAAAAAAAAAAAAAAGACATGCATAATTCTCCATTTCCACTTCTTGGTCTAACCTGTGATAAACAGCTTCCAATGGCAAGCTCTCCTGGCATATGGGTCTCAGCAGTCTTTGCCTGATGGCGTGCTTCTCTTTTAGCACTGCTTCCAGATGATTATTCATGCTTTGCAGAACATCACATTTCTCCACTACATAAACCAGAGATGGCAACCACAGTGAGCAACAGGAAAAGTATGTTTTAGAACTGTTAAAAAATGTCTTCCTTGGAGACTGCAGAGATCAGTGGTTAAGACTGCCTTTCCAGAAGACCCCAGCCCAGGGGGTGGCACTATTAGATGGTGTGGCCCTGTTGGAGTAGGTTTGTCACTGTGGGCGAGGGCTTTTAAGACTCTCTTCTTAGCTGCCATTATTCTGTTAGCAGCCTTTAGATGAAGATGTAGAACTCTCAGCTCCTCCTGTACCATGCCTGTCTGGATGCTGCCATGTTCCTGCCTTAATGATAATGGACTGAACCTCTGAACCTGTAAGCCAGCCCCAATTAAATGCTGCCCTTTACAAGACTGGTCCCAGAGTCTGTTCATAGCAGTAAAACAGTAACTAAGACAGAGTCAGACCTACTCTAGGCAACAGAGATCCTTATCTCGAAAGCAGATAACAAACAAGTCAAATAAATTAACTCCACAATCTCTGTAGACATCTTTCTTACTTTTGGTTTCTTTAGTAACACAAGTTTTATCTTCATTTTCGACTACTTTCTCTTATTTATTTATTTATTTATTTATTACCAACAACCGAACTATAGTACTAAATTATTTCTTGTGTTTTTCAAATCTACATTTTATTTGGCTTTTAAAACCAGTGCCTATTATATGATGGTATAATAACCATAATAACAATCATCAATTTTAACACTTAGTTTCCCCCCCCATACACCCCTTTTTGTTTTCAAAAGGACCTATTTGAGAATAGATGGTAGGTAGCCTAGCCTTTATTCCTCAGAAAAAAATTTACAGCATGTATGTGTGTGCTTGCAGGAGAGCCCACATGTGTGTCAAGGGACCAATGTCAAAGAACAGTTTTTAGGAGTTGGTTCTCTACTTCCATGTAGGTCTTAGGGATTAACTAAGGCACCGGGCTTAACAGCACATGCCTTTGCCTGCTTAGCTATCTAGCACACATCTTTTATTATTATTATTAATTTTTTTTTTTTTTTTTTGGTTTTTCGAGACAGGGTTTCTCTGTGTAGCTCTGGCTGTCCTGGAACTCACTCTGTAGCCCAGGCTGGCCTCGAACTCAGAAATCTGCCTGCCTCTGCCTCCCAAGTGCTGGGATTAAAGGTGTACACCACCACTGCCAGGCCACATCTTTTATTCTTAAAACTTTATTCCAAGAACATTCTCTTATAAAACTACAGAATATTCCCAAAATCAAATTTTTTTCCTCAGGAATTTTATTCTCTTTAGCTTTTTTTTTTTTTTAAATCTCTAGAAACTTAACCTAGGGCCTTATATATGCTAAACAAACAATCAATGAACTGCATCCCCAGCCTTTCCCCTCAATATTTGTTTAAAAAGCTTTAGATTGTTAATTTATTTAATTCTGTGCATATGTGTGTGCATGTGTGTAAGCAAGTGCCACAGTGTTCATGTGGAAGGCAGAGAACACTTTTTCATCTGTTATCTTTTACTCTGTGGATACCAGTATTTGAACTCAGGTTACCAGGCTTAGTTGAAAATGCTTTTACCCACAAGGGTTTTTACCACTACCTCATCTAACTGGTCCTATTTGTTTTGTTACATTTATTATTTTGTATGTGGGAGTGGGTGCATGCACACATGCTACAGCACATGTATCATGCAGATCCTGGGGACTAAACCCAGGTCCTCAGGGTTGGTAACAAGGGCCTCTGCTTCCTGAGCTATCCTTTAGCCCTGTTTGACTGGTTTTTTGAGATAGAGTTTCCTGTATTCCAATCTGGCATCAAACTCATTATGTAGTCACAGATGACCTTGAACTTCACTGCCCACCTCTGCCTCCCTAGTGCTGGGATTAAAGGTAGGTGCCAACAGACTAAATATGGAGTGCTAGGAATTAAATCGAGAGCCTTATACATGCTAAACAAGCACTTTACCAACTTCAGCTATATACACAGTACTTTCAGACAATTTAACACTCATCTCTTGTCTCTGAGTAGTTACTATAGTTTGGAAACATTTGAGTGTGTCCCACAAGCTTTAGCTGCTGACAGTTTAGTTGTCAGTGTGCTGGTTCTGGAATGAGGGGTGGAGCTTTCAAGAGGAGAAGCGAGCAATTATGTCAGTGAGAGTAACACCCCAGTAAAGAACTTAGTTCAACTTATTTTTAAGACCCTACCCTGCCGGGTGGTGGTGCACACCTTTAACCCCAGCACTTAGGAGGCAGAGGCAGGTGGATTTCTGAGTTTGAGGCTAGCCTGGTCTACAGAGTGAGTTCCAGGACAGCCCAGGCTACACAGAGAAACCCTGTCTCGAAAAACAAACAAACAAACAAACAAACACCCTACCCTGCTAGGTATGTAGCACATGACTTTAATAAAAATATTAAGGAGGCAGAGGCAGGTGGATCTCAGGGGTTTAAGGCCAGCCTAGTCTACATAGTGCCAGCCAGGCCTTCATAGTGAGACCGTGTCTCAAAACAAAACAAATAAACAAAGCCCTTCCTGTTGCAGAGTGCTATTATTTCACTACCTTTTAAAAATGTTATTTTTATGTGTATGTGTATTTTGCCTGCATGCATGTGTATGCATTATGTGCATGCCTGGTGCCCATGGACATGGATTTCTTGAGACTGGAGTTAGATGACTGTGAGGTAATATGTAGGTGCTGGGAATTAAACCTTGGTCCCTGGAGCCAGTGCTCTCAATCAATGAGCCAGCTCATTATTCTACTTCTTAAACTCTGCTTGCTTGAGCTTCAAAACAAAATAAAATGAAAAAAAACATAAATAAAAACTTAGTTCTGCCCTGGTTAGTTCTCTTGGAACCAATGTTATAAAAGAGTGAGACTGATCCCTGGATTCTCTGAATTCTTGTCCTGCAATATGACCTTTCTTGTCAAGACCTCCAGTGCTGGAATGGCATCACCACAGATGAGCTAATGTGTCCCTCCAAACCTGTGAGTGAAGTAAATATTTTTTTATCTTGTACATCATTAAGCCCCAGATACTTGGTTGTGGCAACAGAAAGAGATTAGCAGAGGAGCCAGCCTGGCCACGTTTCCACTAGTCAAGTCAACTGGACTGGTTCATTGCTAGCTAAAGCTACATAGTAAGACTCTGCCTAAAAAGAATAAAACAAAGGGCTGTAGAGATGGCTCAGTGGTGAAGAACATTGATTTCTCTTCCAGAGGTCCTGAGTTCAATTCCCAGCAACACATGGTGGCTCACAACCATCTGTAATGGGATCTGATGCCCTCTTCTGGTATGTCTGATCACAGCAACTGTGTACTCACATTCAATCAATCAATCAATCAATCAATAAATAAATAAATCCAAAAAACCCTGAAGACATTTTAGGGCATGTCTATGGAGCAATACCTGGGAAAGATTATGACATTAGAATTCTGCTGCCTGGTGTTAATATGCTGGTATAATTCAAGAGCAAGCTGAAATCCTAGTGATTATTCTCTTAAGCAAACTTACCCAAATAGGAAGGATGAATAAGATCTGCTGTATCTTTTTCTAGCTTCAGAAGTTCAATTTCCAGATTATTCTACAAGAGGAACAAAAGTAAACTTTAGCTCACTCAGAAATCATTCCAAAGTTAGAAGCTTAAAACACCGATAAAAATGGACAAGTTACAGAAACATGGTACAAGACATACATACATTCCTTAAGTGGGATGGAAGGATGGTTTATATGAAAGCCAGGAAAAATCACTGGAGGTTTTCAATTTAGTATCTTGACTTCCTGTTCTACAATTAACTAATAGAACAAGCCTCTATCAGCCATGCAATAGACATTGTTTTAATTGCAAAAGAATACTATTTAAATCAATTAAGAAGTATTTTGTTTGTTTTAGCTTAAAGTTGAGCATCAAACCCAAGGCCTCTTGTAAGCTAAGCAGCCACATTTTCTCTAAAATATACCCCAGCATACTACACACTTTTTAAATGGAGACGTAGAAGTGAAAAATTCATACTTTTACCTGGTAGATTTCAGCTTGAATATCTGAGATCTGCTGTAATCTGGAAAAATTCACAAAGCAAGGAGCCATTTTCTTAGATATATCTAATATCTCCTATTGGTAAATGAACAGAGAAAGGATAGTATGTTACAAAAAGTTAGCATACTGAAATAACATACACAAGGGACTAAAAATATTATGTCCAAAACTGCATCTAACACAAAGAACACATCAAAACAGTAGATGCATATCTTCTGTTTTTATTTGATTTTTGATAAGGCCTCATGAAACCCAAGCTAGCTTGAGCTGGCTATATTGCCAAGAATGTCCTTCAACTTCTAATCTTCATACCTCTATTTCCTAAGTGTACAGCATAACACCAGGTTTGTGTCTATATGTGTGTATGTGTGCACAAGAAAGACAGACAGACACACAAACACACACACAGATCAAGAGAGCGATGGGGGTAGGGGGCAGAGAGAATGTGTGTGTTTTGCATATATGTGTGCTGAGATTAAAGAGGTATCTAACCACTGCCCGCCTGGATTAAATTTTTGATAGTTGAAGTTTCACTCTCCAAGATCCCTCTGTCCTTTGTACTGACTAGACAGGATAGTTAAAAGGGAATATGTGGGGAACAACCACCTTTGCATCTTTCAGGTCCTTGATTGTGGTACTAAATTTCTGCAGTTCCTCCTAGGATATAATACTATCTTTGATTCACTATTTTTCCTGGTAGAGGCAACTCCAATGTCTTCAATTTGGCCTTTGAAAACATACGGCCCTCACTCCACAGGTCAGGAGACCAGTACGGGAACTCTGCTGGCTTCTAAGTATGTCTACCCCAAATACACGTTCTGAACGGGAGTAACTGCAGGACTGGTTCCGGGACTCACTGGATTGGTATATCTACCCCAAATACACATTCTGGAACAGAGATAACTGCAGGACCGGTTCCGGGACTCACTGGATCTAACAGTTGGTATACCTACCCCAAATACACATTCTGGAATGGAGGTAACTGTAAGACCAGTTCCAGGACTCACTGGATCTAACAGTAAGTTGGACTTCAGCCAAAACTCCATTAATCACCTGACCTTCATAAGCACTTATGAGTCTATGAGCATCGTGACAGAGAACATGGCTGCAGGCAGAAATAGCATGGGAGCAGAAGCTAAGAGCTTACATGTTGAGAGCCAAGCATGAAGCAGAAAAAGCTAACTGGAAATGGTATGGGTTTTACAAACCTCAAAGCCCATACTCAATGACAAATGCCCTCCACCAAGACCACATTTCCTAATATTTCCCAAACAGGTGAAATCCTTCCACCAAATGGGTACTTGGTATTCAAATATATGAGTCTATAGAGGCCATTCTCATTCAAATTACCACCATGCATATGATTAGAATCAGATGCAATAGGAAGGAACATGGATACTAGAAGAAAAGAATGTTTGACCTAATCTATCAACCATAGTAGAGAAACAGGACTGGAAAGAAAGATGCCTCAGCATTTAAGAGCATTTGTTGCTCCTGCAGAGGACCCAGGTTCAATTCCCAGCAAACACATGGTGGCTCACTGCAGTTCCAGGGGATCCAATGCTTTCTTCTAACTATCATGGGCAACGGGCATGCATATGGTGCAAATACATACATGCAGGCAAAATTCATTCATACATAATATAAATATTCATTCATAAGATAAATATATCTTTAAAAAAAAGGAGTAGAGAACCCCTCAAACCATGCCTGAATGTAAACAATTCCTTCCTTTAGAACTCAGGCTATAACCTGGGGCCCTTGTAGTGAACTACTTTCAATCTTGACACTGTATCGCTCTATATTCTATGTTATTCCTTCCCTCAGAACAAAGTTATTTTAAATTCTTTAGGTAAGAGGCCAAGAACCTAAATATATCTAGCCCAGACCCCAACACACTAGTAATATATTGACTAGACTGGGTTAGACTGGCTAGCCAGCAAGCTTCACCTGTATCTGGCCCTAGCTCTAGGACATATACCATCACATTCTGCTTTTACCTGAGTACTAGGAATCTAAACTTAGCCCTTCGTGACTTTTTGATAGGCAATTTATTGATTAAACCACCTCCTGAGCCCCAGTACCTGTTTTATACAGTGCTTTGGATCAAACCAACGGCTTTGTGTGACCTAAGCAAGCACTCTATCAACAAGCTACATTCTCAGCCAATTTCCTCTTTTCTTTTAAGGGTTTAGCAGGGCATGATTGTACATGTCTTTAATCCCAGCACTCAGAAGGCAGAGGCAGGTGGATTTCTGGAACAGAGTGAGTTCCAAAATAGCCAGAGCTAAACAGTGAAACCTTGTTTCAAAAAAGCAAAACAAGACAAAAAAAACCCCAAAACAAAAAACTGGCTAATATGTGTTACCTGGTAGTAGATAAAATCACCACTGTACAGTGCCTGAGATCATCTACGGGTACCTTTCTATGGTTTAGGAACTTGCATTCTCTATAAACACTTTCAAGAAGAACACTGAGTCTCAAATGTGTTAACTATGAAATAATCCAATAGTTTTATGACAAGAGAACGGCACAATGCAAGGCAAGAATACTGCACAATGTGGTAGAAAGAAAACAGGGAAGAGTGAGGAAAGGCTGCTGAAGAGTGCTGTGCCAGCTCCTGGGAAACCAGTTAGCCAGGGCTGCTCACACACTCGAAGCAATGGTGGGTCTTCAAGAAAAGTCCAAAATCTTTCACAGCGCAATGCTATCACAGTTCACCTTTATAATTTTAGCACTATTTATTTAGAGACTGAGCCTTGCTATGTAGCCCTACATGATCTGTAACTCACTAGCCCTGGGATTACAGGTGTGCACCACCATGCCTGGCTGTTAGCAATTCATTTTAAAAGATGACATGGCAAAAAGGAGAGGGTTATGGGATCTAATTCTGGCAGCTTGCTGAGTGATACTGGATGGTTTCTTAGTCTTTTTAGGTGTTTCTTTTTTGTTTAATGGAAACAAGGTCTCCTCACTCTATCTTAAGCTAGCCTTAAATGATGAGCAATCTTCCTGCTTCCAGTTCTCAAGTGCTTCCAATTCTTGTGTCACCCTATCTGCCTGTTTAGGTTTCTTAAACCCTTTACGATATATCTGAAGCCTCTATTACCTCTTTCATACATCAAAACCAAAACCCACACAAACAATAAAACCAAGCAGCTGAAGAAATGGCTCAGTGGTTAAAAACACTGATTGTACTTCCAGAGGATCTGGGTTTCATTCCCAGCATCCACAAAGCAGCTCACAACTGTAACTCCCATTCTAGTGGACCTGACACCTTCACACAGACATACAAACAGGCAAAACACCAATGTACATAAAATAGAAATTAACTATTAAAAAATTCTTCAACCATGTCTGCACTGCTAATTTCTACAGATGAATTAACTTTCTTCAACTTTCTTTTTGTATCAGTTTCCTTCCTTCAAGCTTAATGTGCTTGACTTCTCACTCCCCCATTCCATCAGCCATTTTCTGTTATTCCTTCACATATTCAATTTCTTTCTTCTGTCTACCTGCTTGTTGTATATACACGTCTAAAACAGTCATTTCTTGGACTAATCTTTATTCTTGTCTCAAAGTCTTCACAGTGCGACAACATACACAGAAACACTGAGACAAACAGACACACACCTTTAATAGATGCTGCCCTAAAGAGGCTCCGCTAGAGTTCTGTACTCAGGGCCCCAGGTATGTTTCAATAATTCCCATTAACAGACGTTGTCGAAAATACTTTTCAAAGTACCTGCCAGTATTTCTTTCTCACTGCCCCCCCCCCCCCCAGTTTAGAGTAGTGGTTCTCAAATGAGTGGCTTGCAACCCTTTTGGTGGGGTCAAACGACCCTTTAACAGACCTGACATGGGTCCCTTAAAGACCATCGGAAAACCACAGATGTTTACATTAGGATTCGTAACAGTTGCAAGATCACAGTTATGAAGTAGCAACGGAAATGATCTTATGGTTGGGGGGGGTCACAAAACATGAAGAACTGTATTAAAAAGTAGCAGACTTAGGAAGGTTGAGAAACACTGTTCTAGAGGAAGTAGTATCACTGGAGGAAAAAAAAGCAAAGCGTTGTACCACCTCCCACAAACTGGCCTGGGATAATCCGCAGGCACTCAAGTGCTCGGAACATCACCCACTCCGTCCCTCACACTCGAAGAACCCACGGGAGTATGGTAACGGACGCAGTCTCCAAGGGACGCTACCAGGTACTCAACACAGTCCTCAATTGACTCACTCATGCCCGCATAACCAGGACCACCACCTCACAGCGGAATTCTGTCGCCAACTTGATGACGCCGTCGCCGCCACCACGTACCTCAGTGACTATCCCCGAAGCTACCAAGTGGTTCAGCAGTAACCCAGCTGCACTCTGCGCGGACGCTGGGTCCCACGGGTTGGCGGCAGCCATGGCTCCCGCACACCTCTGGAACTGGCGCGAGGAGTGAGGGGCACACAGAGAACGGGCGCGCGGTTTGATGATGTCACAGGGCGTTCCTGCCCGGGCGGAAGCCCTGGGAGCGCGTCTCAGGCGAGCGCTGGTCCCGGGTGTTCCCTGGCGGAGTCGTCTCTGCACTGAGCGGTAGGAGGCGAGTCTCAAGCGTCCTGTTCCGACAACAGCTATCGGAGGCTCCCTGGCCCTTAACTCAGCTGCCAAAGCATCAAGACTTCGTGGTAGCGCTGTCTGCTCACCTGCTTTCTCCTTGCCACTCTTGGGCTGGCCCCTGGGAAGTAGGGATAGGAAGAAGGTGACAACTGGAACAGGAGACCCAAACGGGAGATTTAGCGGTGGCTGTATGTCTAGACTGGGCGGTGACAGCTATGCTTCTTTCCTGCAGGCAACTGAGTCGTGGCGCTAGGATGGGAAACAGTGCTCTCCGTGCTCATGTGGAAACAGCGCAGAAAACTGGTGTCTTTCAGCTTAAAGACCGTGGTCTGACTGAGGTGAGACCTGAGGGGACCGGACCAAGAAACTAAAAGGGATAGGGATAGCGGGGTGGCGAAGTCTATTGGTGCAGAATTTTTCCACACTGTAAGCTCCTTTCTCCAGTTCCCCTCAGAGTTGCAGAAGCTGACAAGCAATCTTAGGACGATCGATTTGTCCAACAACAAGATCGACAGCCTACCACCTCTGATAATAGGAAAGTTCACTCTGCTAAAGAGCCTCTCCCTCAACAACAACAAACTGAGTATGGATTTTGTGCCTGGCAGCTTTTGCTAGTAATCAGCAGTTATGGTGTTTTTCCTGTTAGATGATTTTTGTTATGAAATCAGTTTAGGGGATTCAGAATGTTACAGTATTGAAGCTTTTATCTCTTGTAATTTAACCTAAAAGCCTCCTTGGGTAGTATAATCATTATTACTAGGTTAACTTGGACTTGGAAGACTTTTGGGAATCGATGTAAACAGTTATCTAATTTGGGGGGCAGGGTGGAACGCGAGGATCTTTTAAACTTCCCCAGATTGTCCCCCAAGCCCCTTTACAAAAGAAACCCATTATACACATACACACTTTTCTGCTTTTTGATGACTTCTTAATCTCCCAAACACTGTTTGTGAAACCTCATGACATGTGAGAATTCTATGTAAGAAGTTAGGCCTGGTGACTTAGGCCTGTAACCCCAGCTACTCAGATGCCGAGGCAGAAAGATCCTAATTTCAAGGCTACCCTAGACAACTTGAGACCCTGTCTCAAAAACAAGATGAAGCAGACTACCATACTTTTTATAAATTTCATTAGTTCTATCAGATTTAGGTTTTTTAAAAAAATTCTTCTTCACCAGCTGTTCTACCTGATGAATTATGCAATCTGAAAAAACTAGAGACACTAAGCCTCAACAACAATCACCTGAGAGAGCTACCATCTCCCTTTGGGCAGCTGTCAGCTCTGAAGACCCTGAGCCTCTCTGGGAATCAGCTGGGAGCATTACCACCCCAGCTTTGTAGCCTGAGACATCTGGATGTAGTAGATCTCTCCAAAAACCAAATTCGGAGTATACCTGACACAGTCGGAGAGCTGCAGGCCATCGAACTCAATCTCAACCAGAACCAGGTCTTGTGTGTTTTGTCCCTCTTCCCAGTGTATGTTTGCATTTATGGTCTTGTGATAATTTCCTGTTCCTTAAGGGATAATCATAGAGTTGGATAATAGAAGCTAAAAGATATATAAGGTGAACTACTCTAATGCCCAGTATCATGGAGTGGGTTGACGGTAGCTGTGTAATAGTGTTGAAGGTGTTTTTGAGGAAGGTAGAAAAGAGTAAGAGTGAGATAATTAAAAAAAAAAAACCTATTCAAGGTTTTACAAATATTCTCTTCACACCAATTATTTAGTGAGGAGCCATGTCAGGGATGTCAGGGGTGACATAATGTAGGAACGAGACTTATACCCATAGGATCTGAGAGTCAGACGTCAGACAATGTTGAAAAATCCCTAAGTGATAGCTGTTCTGGAACTAGGTTATAATTGGACAATTTTGTATGTGAAATGTTTTGAAGCTCCTTGGTTAACATTAGTATGGAGAAGTCCTCTGCTTTAGATATGAGCCACAATGATGAAACATTTGAGATTAGGTTAGCCTTTAGTTTTTAGCATTTATGCTTCCATATATGTACATTACGCATGTATATTAGCTACTATGAACATGTTATCACTGTGCTAGATTGTAGTTAGCATAATATTCGTTCAGCTTTTGAGGTTGGTTTTGTCTGTTCTCTGAGATTTCAAGAAAAGAATTGTCATTGGTATTAGTTGACTTATTCCACATTCCCTACTGCTAGACTTTAATTTCTCAGACCTTACTTGGGTAACCTGGGGAGCTTAGTGTTTGATTCAGTAAGTGAGAAGTCTACAAATCTGCATTTTCAGTAAGTTCTTAGGTGATGCTTTAGATGCTAGGTAGTCACCAGAATTTAGTGACCTGGTGCTGGAGAAGAACTGAGTGGTACAGTAATTGTGTAGCATGTACCAGACCCTGGTTCATCCTGCAGCATGGGAAGGAAAAGACTTGGAGCTTTAATGGGCAAAGAAACGGATGGGTCAAAGATAGTGTGTTTGGAATTGACCTGGAGGACCTACACAAAGCTACTAAATGGACATGCTGAGTTCATCAGATGAATTATCCAAATGTTTTAGTGAAAATTGTAGATACAAAGCTGTATTTGAGATTATTATGGGCGGTGGTGGCGCACACCTTTAATCCCAGCACTTGGGAGGCAGAGGCAGGTGGATTTCTGAGTTCGAGGCCAGCCTGGTCTACAGAGTGAGTTCCAGGACAGCCAGGGCTATACAGAGAAACCCTGTCTCAAAAAACAAAAACAAACAAAAAAAGATTATTACATAGGACTGTTGATACAGACTTAGAAGTCACAAGTGAAATGGTTTTAAGAATGTTTTCTAGAAGGTGGTGAATGTTAAATAGGAGGCATTAGGGATTTATTTCTGCTTGAATATAATTCTAAATAAAGAGTGGTGGTGGTGCATGCCTTTCATCCCAGCACTCGGGAGGCAGAGAGATCTCTACAAGTTAGAGGCAAACTTGGTTCACAAAGCAAGTTCAAGGACAGCCAGTGCTGCACATAGAAACCGTCTGAAAAAACAAAAACAAAAAATGCCACTCCCCAAAAAAATTTCAGGAGAAATTCAAAAATCATGCACAAGAGGGAGTCTCAAGAAATGGATGGGTAGTCCAGTCACATGCAGCAGTGTGGAAGCATGGAACGTTGGCTTCAACAATAGAGCAGAGGGGTAGGTATCAAGGTGTTCTTGTGGTGGTTTCTGCGTGGCAGCGTACTGGTAAAGTTTTTCCTTAAACTTACATGATTCTCATTATTTTCTATAATAAATGCACAACGCTTTTATTATTAGGTTTTATTTTTGAAAAGCTACTAGTAACCTTCAAATAATTTGGAAGTGGAGGAGTAACAGAAGGTATGTAACAGGCTTATGTGATGAGTAGGTAGTGAGAAAACGGAGGTGGCAAAAGAAAAACTAGGACACATTCAAGATCTGTTTCAGTGTAGCAACATGGCCATTATGCTCTTTGTCCTCTTACTGTTTTGTTGTTCAACAGATATCTCAGATCTCCGTCAAGATATCCTGCTGTTCTCGCCTCAAAGTCCTCCGGCTGGAAGAGAACTGCCTTGAGCTCAGCATGCTTCCACAGAGCATCCTCAGCGACTCCCAAATTTGCCTGCTTGCTGTGGAGGGCAATCTCTTTGAAATAAAGAAACTTCGAGAACTAGAGGGTTATGATAAGGTGTGCATTAGCATCTTCTACATTACTAGTGCCTGCTCCAGAGGAAAAAAAACTGATGAGATAAACTCAAGTGATGTCTACAGTTAGCATCTGACAGGTTCATATTTTGGAGGTAGCTTTAAAACTCGGCCGGATTGTATTGTGCCAAGTGACTTTCTCCACACACTGCTCATTGCACTGCATCCTTTGATGTTTCCTAGCCCCCCCCCCCAGGCAAAAATTAATGCACTTTAATAATTAAGTAGATTTTGCCAAGTATGACAGCAGGGCTTTAATCCTAGCACTTGGGAGGCAGAGGCAAGCAGATCTCTGTAAGTTGAAGGCCAGCCCATGGCAACATAGTGAGACTCTGTCTCAAAAAGAAGTAAGTTTTGTATGAAATTAATCTAGTCAAATTACAAAGAAAAAAAAAAAACATAAAACCTAAGTTAAAAAGTATCCTTATGGGGACTGGAGAGATGATTCAGGAGTTAAGAGCACTGACTATTCTTTCAGAGGAACAGGATTCAATTCCTAGCACCCACATGGCAGCTCACAACTGTCTATAACTCCTGTTCCAACTCCCCCACACAGACATTTATGTAGTCAAAACACTAAAGTATATAGAATAAAAGTAAATTATTGAAAAGTATTCTTATATTTGTCTATACCAAAATGCCATATGTATATTTTTCTTTCACGTTTTTAGTACATGGAGAGGTTCACAGCCACCAAGAAGAAATTTGCATGATGTTCTCCAGGACCATGGGACAGACTTGGAACCTCTGTTGGAATCTGACTGAGTCAAAGGCTCCTGAAGTTGGATACACTGCAGATAACATTTTACTTAATAACTTCTTCCCTTTTTAGGACTATGTCAGAGAAGCTAAAGGAAAGGCATTTAGGAGTAGGAGACAGAAAGAACCCTACATCTTGAGCCGCGTAGGGCCATGGCCAGTGTTGATCTTCAAAACCATCATTAGTTGGGCTCTAAGTGCTGCCTGTTAATAGAGGGCCCCATGCCACAGCTTGAGATTTTGTTGAGTTGCAGACTGCCAGCTTCCATAAAGTCGGTCCCCATAACCTGTGTGTTAACACTTCATATTTTTTATGAAATTCACGTTTGTGGGAAACAGGTGTGACTAAGGATAAATGCTTTTGCTCCAGTACATTAACTCAACAGCAGTGTTTACACTTGGAACTGGGCTGTACATAAATATGTAGCTGTCTTAAAGAGAGCTTTGTCAAGGGAGCACCAACTCAACAGCCACCAAGAATGTCCCCCAAGGCTGCAGTAGCAAATTTTTTTTTTTACTATTGCAGGTGCCTTATTGGTAGAGGGCTCTGAAAGAGCTAAAACTATATGCAAAAATTATAATTTTTGTTTTTAGACAGGTTTTTGCTATGTAGCCCAGGCTGGCCTCAGACTCAAAATCTCCCGACCTCAAATCTCCCCTTTCCTCCACATGCTGGGATTATAGGCATGCGCCACACTCAGCCTACTTGTAAGATTTTAAATTAATAATCAAGGTTTTCCTGAAGCTTTGTTAAAAATCATGTGCTATTTCTGGTAACTCCTCCCCCTTTTGTATTTATAACTGTACTAATCAGATTACCTTCAAGAAACCATTGCTACAATATTTTAAAATAACCTATGTTTATCATGGCTATTCTCTGAATGAGAATATTCTAAATAAAATATTTTTAGTGAACTTTGTCTGGAAGCAATGTTAATCATTTAAAGAACTTTTAACCTGTTAAGTAGTCCTTTGCTCTCCGAAAGTAAACCAGGTACCATAAAGAAAAAAAAAGCCTGTCTTGAAAAAGACAAAAAGAAAGAGAAAACTGGGAGGATATGTTTCATGCTCTTGTTTGGTTTGATGGCAATGAAATCCTTGCTGCCACGCAGACAGAAATTGGGAACTGGGAATTGTGCTTAAGAGAACGTGAATGTAGAGAGAGAAGATTTCAGATTGTTACTGGTAAGAACATCAGGAAGCTATCATAGGGATTGTTTTCTGAAGTCTTCTCTCTGAACAGTGCCTTTCACTAACAAATCTGAACCTATAAATAACGTGCATGTGTTCATTTGCACTCCCACTCCTGTAGGTATCAATAAGTACCACCTTTTCTCCAGCCCCATTTGTATGTCCAACCATACCAGATTATACTGCTCCAGAATGCCTTTGTGTTATTCAGTCAAGAAAAGCCATCTCTCTTACTTGGTGCTGACCAGTTTCTAAGCTCCTTCCCTAAATCTAATCCGAATTAACTACACCCCCCCCATCTGCTGACAGAATACTTTCCACATCCTATATTTATCTCTCTTGCTAAACTGAAATGCTTGAGGTTAAAAACCATACAAAAGGCTGGAGAGAGAGCTCAGAGATAGTAAGTACTTGTCCTTGCAGAGGACCCAGATTCAGTTCCTACACCTACATGGTTCCAATACCCTCTTCTGGCCTCTGGGCACTAGGCATACATGTGCTACACATACATATTTGCAACCATAATACTCATAAACAAAATCTTTTTAAAAAACAAAACAAACCTACCCAATATGCCTTAAATTTTAGTTTGGTTTGGAGTCAGCTAGTACATGGAGTAAGGTCACAGGCACTGTACAAAAGCAATGACTTCAGGATAAGGAATCTGAATAACAATATGAGAAATAAACTAGGAACCTAATTAGGATAACTATTTTCATTACATTTTTTATGTGTTTGTGTATGTGTACACAAGCTTGCATACACTGCAGCACATGTGGAAATCAGAGGAAAACTTTTAGGAGTTGGCTTTCTTCTTCTACCATTTAGATCCTGGAGTTCAAACTTAGGTTGTCAGGCTTGGCAGCAAGTACCCTTACCTGCTTAGCCATATCATGGACCATTTTTGGTTTTCTTGAGTGGTTTTTCACAATCCCATGTTGTCCTGAAACTGTACCTGAGGATGACCTTGAGCTCCTGATCCTCCTACTTAATGCTGAGGTGGAAGGGCATGCCACCACACCTGGCTTACATGGTAGAACAGAACTGAACATAGCGATTCTTGATATACTGGGCAAGCACCTCATGAATTGAGCGGTTCTGCATCCCCAATCCTAAAAACTTAAATGCTCATTATAGGATGTCTAGAGTGTAGATGTTTAAGTTAATAAAAGAATCATAATCCATAAGTGATAAGGAAAGATTAAGAATTGAAGACTGAAGAATACATTAAAACTGAAGAAAGAATAAAATAGGTACAGCTATGTAAGTTAAGACTAAGATGAAATTTGAGCTTTTACTGTTTTTAAAATACTTAAAAGTTTGAAGTTGGGTGTAGTGGCACACTTAACTTCAGTATCTGTGGAGCAGTGACTGGTAGATCTCTGGGTTTGAGGCCAGCCAGTTTTATACGGTGAGACCCAGTTTAAAAAAATAAAAAGTTGCCAGGGGTGGTGGCACATACCTTTAATCCCAGCACTTGGGAGGCAAAGGCAGGCTGATCTCTGTGAGTTCAAGGCCAGCCTGGTCTACAGAGTTCCAGAACACCCAAGGCTACACAGAGAAACCCTGTATCAAGAAAACCCAACCAACCAACGAACAAACAGTTTGGTACAAGATACTAGCTTTTATTTGTAGTCATAGCTATTGTATTCAAGATCACTATACTAGAAAACAAGGCAAAAGCAGAACCTAGGTGACTCCAGCTTGTGCGAGCTACTTGCTATTGTTCTTGGTATCTGCTCCTTTGCTTTTTTCTCTGGGAAGGGGAGGGGGCTATGTTGTCTTTCATCAAATTCATAGACAGATCTTTGACCAAAAAGAGCTCTCTTCATTCTAGAGAAAATATCATTTATGATGGTTACATCTAATAGGCACTCTTCTAAGAGTCTTGTTGGTTGATTTTGTTGGGGGAGGGGGCTGTTTTTTGATACAATTTAGTTTAGGCTGGCCCACAACTCACTTGACCGTGCCTCAGGTTCCCAAACGCTGGGATTACCAGTGTAGCCTCTGAGCCAGGCATATGCTAAGAAATTTCTGGGCATTACTGGTCTGTGAGTTAGTTTATAAAATAGGATTTATTAATTCCCATTTACAGGTATGGAAACCAAGGCAAAGAAATAGGCATACATTCACACCAGCCAGCAAGAGCAAAGGGTTGCTTTAGTGCATAATCTAACCAAATATACCTTAGATACCACCTTTTGGTACTGTTCCTTTAGACAAATCGGCATGTTGTCTTTAAATGTCATAAGGAAAGCACTCTTAGATACAGCACCATCCACTATTTTATACTTGACCATACTTCATACATTCAGTATCTGTACCTGACAAACTATTCATTCTGACATAGAGCTTTTCTTTTTTGTTTTAAATACTGTCCTTTTCACTCTTTCAATGCTGCTATGCTAGACGTGTCTTCTTCAATAAGTGACTTGTAATTCTCACTCAGAAATACTCAGCAGTATATCTAAGTTCAAATGATTAAGACATGTAATGTCTAAAATGGACTCACAGCAAACTATAGAAACTCCTGTAAACACTTCTGGTAAAAATCAGAAAAGAGCTAATGCAGCTTTCTATTGGAGTGCTTGACATATGGACATTTGCTTTATTTAATGTTAACAAAAGCTGATAAAATGGTTGCCCCCACAAATAAGTCATAGAAACATTACCTATTTGAAAGAACAATACCATTAATTACAAAATTTAATTTTAAGAATCAAGCAATGGTTATTGGTCAAACCATCTACTTTGGTAGCTCTAAAGTGTACAGATTATAATTTTTAAACAAAGGTGACAGATACCAGTTCAGGTTTCCTAACACTTCAGGATCTACATAAACTTAATTCTGTGCATAAGGCAGAGAGAATGGCAGTGTGGTCACCAATTAATCCAAAGGCATAATTTTCCAAACAACTTTTAGTAACAAATTATAACTTTTTAAATGTCTAAAACTACACAAAACTAAAAGCAATCTATTTTTCTACCTGAGATCAAAACATGTTTTTTTTTTTCATATCTAAACACAATTCTTAGTATTGAGGTAAATCTGAATTCACATGATACACTGTAAAAAAGTTTCCCAAAATATTTGAAGCCCTGCTTTAGTGAGGAAGTCTCCTATTTCACATATGTACATCTTTTAAAGGCTACTGACAACTTCATAAAGTTAACAGGCCTACAATGGGACCATGCTATGACTCATTGTATGAGAATAAAAGGCACTCATTTATATAGTGTTCCTGCATGTGCAATATGAGATGGGATCCTAGAACCTACTATGTACACAAATCACTATGGGTTCAGAAGTGAAGCTCATTCTGGAAAACTCACTGTGTTCTCCTTTGGAGCAGAAGCTAAAAAACAGTGATATAGAACAAAACACATGTGTGAAAGCTCCTACCCCAAGCACTAACCTGTTGTTTTGTGACCTGTAGTTTCTTTAATGAGTCAACTTCATTTCTTGTTCCTTCCTCTTGCTCTTTACCACAAAACCAAAACCAAACAAACCAAAATCAAACCAACCAACCAATAATGACAAAAGCCACTTATACAGCTGCCTCCTTCATGGCTCTTTGGTAATGCTTCCAAATCTTGAACGCAAAAAGAAGCTAAATGAAGAGATGAAGTGACTGTGTGACGTATGGAAAGCAGCCTACAAGAGTGAACTGAGAAAGACTGTAAGGAAGCCTGAGCAAGAACCTACCCCAAAAGACAGAAAGTAAGAAAGTAGGGAGGATTCCTTCTCCAGTCCTTCTCTCACAGTCTTTCAAACTCTGAATAAGAAATGACCAGCAGGAGCTAGAGAACTGAGTAAACAGGTAAAGAAGTACAGCAGGCCTTTAGCTATCAATGAGTTTCTTTGCTCTTGTATTGGCAATGTCAATACGATTCTTGTTGGTGTCAGCCTGAAAAAAAAGGAGAGAGAGAAATATCAGCATCTGTTCACAAAACAACCCATTTTAAACACACGCTGAACTGGAGAATGCAAGTGTAGCTCACTTGGTAGAGTGTTTACCTAGCACACACTGGGCGCTGGGTTCAATTTCACAGCACTGCATGAAAAGTGGTATCACAGCACGTGCCTGTAATCCTAGCACTTGGAGAGTGGAGGCAAGAGGACCATAAATGGAGGGTCTTCCTCAACTACACAGCGAATCTGAGGCCAGCCTAGGCTACATGAAATTCTGTTTCAAAAATCAACAAGTTTAATTTTAGCTTAGGGGTAGAATATATATGACTTGCAATTCTATGGACATATATTCACTCCCAAGCACGCGCACACACACACACATACACACACACACACACACACACACACACACACACAGAGTTTTATATATTTGGGACTTAGATATGGACATATGCCTGTAATCTCAGCACTCAAAAGGATATGGCAATATGAGTTCAACACCAGCCAGGGTTACAGTCAAACTGTCTCAAAATAACAACAGCAAAATAGGTTTAGGATATAGTTCAGTGGTAGATTACCTGCCTACCACACATGAGGTCCTATGTTCAATCACCAGTGCAACAAAAAAATGTAGTAAAATTTTATTTTATTTTTTGGAGACATGGTATCTCTGTGTAACACTGGCTGTCCTGGAACTCACTCTGTAAAGACCAGGCTGGCCTCAAACTCAGAGATCCACCTGCCTCTGCTTCTCAGAATGCTGGAATTAAAGGTATGTGCCACCAGCCATCAGCAAAATTTAATGTGTATGGGTGTTTTGCCTGCATGTATGTCTGTGTATCAAGTGCCTATGGAAGCCACAAAGAAGGTGTTGGATCCCCTGAACTGGAGTAAGCCACCATGTGGGTGCTGAGAATTGTTTCCCAGTCCTTTTGAAGAACAACAAGTGCTGCCCTGACACCTGGCAGCCCAGGGTTGCAGACACATACCACGTCTAGCTTGTATATGAGTCCTTGGATCAAATATAAGTCCTCATGCTCGCGTGGCAAGTACTTTCCAACTGAGCTACCTCCCAAGGTCTTCTACTTAGTTATTTTTTGAGACTAGATCTTGTTGCCTGGGCTGGCCTCGAGCTTATAAATTCAAATGATCTTCTCACTCCTCTGGAGTGGCTGGAATTAAAGGCAACACCTCCATGTCCAGCCCAGTTTTGATGCAATAAAGTATGGCAAAAATGCTCTCTGAGCAGGAGTCTCATCTGGAGCTTCTGGAGCTCTGACCAAAGAGACTGAAATAACTTTGACAAAGATCTTTGGAACAGATGTACTGCCACCCACAGAAGCATCTAAATTAAAATGATGTGTAATCTATACCCTAAACCCAGGGTTCAGCATTGCAAGCATCTTAGGAACCAAGTGGCTCCAGTCCAAGTACCAAAAGAGGTCAGAGAGTTTCATACTCCTTAAAGCTGGAGTTATAGGCAGTTGCGAGCCATCTGACATGGTTCCTAGGAATAAATCAGATCCTCTGTAAGAGCAGTAAGTGTTCTTCATCACTGAACCATCTTTCCAGCCACACATGACCCTATTTTTAATGTATACCATATAAGAACAAGTCTACACCTGGGTGGTGGTGGTGCACGCCTTTAATCCCAGCACTTGGGAGGCAGAGGCAGAGGATTTCTGAGTTCCAGGCCAGCCTGGTCTACAGAGTGAGTTCCAGGACAGCCAGGGCTACACAGAGAAACCCTGTCTCAAAAAAACAAAAAACAAAAAACAAAACAAAAAAAAGAAGTCTACAGAATTGATTTTTGCTGCTGACTCCTGAAATGAAGCTATAGGATCTTACTACTAGGCTATCTGTGAATAAAACAAAAGTAAAAGCTAACATGCATTCAGGAAGGAAATGCATACAATACACAAGAAAAAGTTAGAGGAATCTACTTGGTACATGATTTGTTTGCTGGTTGGTTGGTTTTGAGATAGGGAAGTTTTATGAAGCCCTGAAGCCCTGGGATTCTCTATGTAGACCAGGCTGGCCTTGAACTCACAGAGACCCATCTGCTTCTGTCTCTTCAATACTAGGATTATTAGTGTGTGCCACTACCCAGGTTACTCAGTACATTCTTAAATTTCTTTTAAAATTACATTTATTTATGGTGTGCATGTACATGTGTAGAGGTCAAAGGACAATTTATAAGAATTAGTTTTGTCCTAAGATGTAGATCCCAGGGATCAAAATCAGGTTGTCAAGGCTGACGGCAAGCATCGCTACTCCCTGAGCTACCTCACAAGCTCTACACAATAAATTCTTAGCTTCATGTGCAGAGTTTTAAGTTAAACTCAATTCCAAGCTGTGCTTTACAACCAACCACTGACATGAGCGAAATAGCAAGATTGCTTTTAAAGTGTTGGAGTGGCCAGCTCACCAACCCTGTCCTGAGTAGACTGCGTTCATCTCCTTCAAAGTATCTTGCAAAGACTCACTACTAAATATCACTGGATCGACTATCTAATCTGTCCGTGGGCTGGCTGGCTTGCTTATTTATTTATTTATTTACTTATTTACTTATTTATTTATTTACTTACCTTTTCTGTGATCTTCTGTATTTGCTGGTTTTGAGCATCAATTTCATTGCCCATATCCAGAGCCATGTTCTTTAGGTTGCCCAGGATGCTGCCCACTTGAGTCAGGTTCTCTTCCATCTCATCTTCTCTGGCATCATTAGTTATACTATCAGAAAAAAAGAGAGAGTTAAATCAGAACTTTTTTTTTTTTTTTTTTTAAAGATTTATTTATTTATTATATATGAATACACTGTAGCTGTCGTCAGACACACCAGAAGAGGGCATCAGATCTCATTACAGATGGTTGTGAGCCACCATGTGGTTGCTGGGATTTGAACTCAGAACCTCTGGAAGTGCAGTCAGTGCTCTTAACCACTGAGCCATCTCTCCAGCCCCAAATCAGAACTTTTTGTTAAGTTACAAATGGACTAAATCTACAATTATAAAAATAAGTAATCAAAATGATGATCAACATGTAAATGAAATGTAGACTACTAGAAACAGTCTACACTGAAAGAAAGGAACAAAGGAAGAGAAAAGGAAAAAGAAAAGAAAAAAGAAAAGCAAGGCAAGGCAATCAAGTAGGCAGTGGACAGACTAGCAAGATGGTTCAGCAGGTCAAAGAGCTTGCTGCACAAAGCTGATGACGCGAGCTCAGTTCATGGAAGCCATGTAAAGGTAGCATGAGAGAACCAACTCCACAATATTGCCCTCTGACCTCCTCATACATGTTACGGAATTCATGTGTACTCATGTTCACATACATATTAATTACAAAAAGTTCTTAAAAGCCAAGCATGGTGGTACCTACCTGTAATCCTATCACTCAGAAAGCTCAGGCAGGAAGAGAAACATAAATTGGAGGCCAGCTTGGGTTACACAGACCTTGTCTCAAACAACAGCAGCAAAGGCCAATCAAGGAGACTATGAGAGCCACAGAGAAGACGACTGACATACAACCCTGAGACACAGTGTATTTTCCAGCACTGTTGAGGTACTTGTTTATGGTAATACATTAATTCTAACATTCCATTCCAAATCTTCCCAATCAGGGAAGTATATAGTCCTGGATGGCCTAGATTTCATTGTGTTTCTCAGACTGCCCTTGAATTTGCCAAGCCTCCCATGTCATCCTTCTGAAGTGCTGAGATTACCAGGAAAACAGCTTGTTTTGTTGTTTTTCTTCACTCCAGATGGAGTCTTATGATGCTCCCTGGCCTGCCTATAGTTCCTGGGTTAAAACAATCCTCCATCCCCAGCCTTCAAGTCCAGTTGAACCTTTACATTTTATTTTCTTCCAAGACAGGGTTTCTCTGTGTAGCCCTGGCTGTCCTGGAACTCACTCTGTAGACCAGGCTGGCCTCAAACTCACAGAGATCTGCCTGCCTCTACCTCCTGAGTACTGAGATTAAAGGTGTGCACCATTGTCTGGCTTGTTTTTAACTTTTACATTATTTACTTATAGTGTGTATGTGCATATGTCACAACACATGTGTTGGAGATCAGAAGATAATTTCCGTGAATCAGTTCTCTCCTTTGACCATATGAGAACTGGAAATTTAACTCAGGACAGCAGGCTTGGCAGTAAGATCCTTTACATGTTGATACATCTGCCCATCCCCTAATATGTATTTAATAAACCTTCAAATGAATCTATGTACACTCAAATCTCAAGACTACTACTTTAAAGTCAATTAGAGAAGTATGGCCAGAAGGCAGTACAACACCAGGAGGCAGTGGAAGGTAGGGTGTGGGGCTTGACAGAAGCTCTATGGAGGGCATGCCTTGCTCTGCCTTTCCTATACTTCCTTCTCACTGCTTACTGCCTGCCACAAGTGAAAAATAACCATCACCATATTCCCACTGCCACGATTTTCTTTCCAAGAAACCAAAAACCCTTTGAAATGGAAAGCCAAAATAAACTGTCTCTCTGAAAGAAGAGAAGAAGAAAAGGAGGGAGACTGACAGGTTACTTGCTGAGTTAGTGTTCCTGGCTAGCTACACCCAATTTCTAAAATGAGCCGTGCATTAGGAGATGTAGAAATACAAGGAGCTGGCATACCGTTTAATGTATCCACCGCTGGCTGCTCCTGTAGTTTGCTGAGGCTGACCATTTGTTATCCGGCTTGGTTGCTTAGATACTACATTGCCAGGTGAGTTGTCACCACCATCTCCCCATGTTGCCTTATAGTTCTTTCCAGACTCAAAGTTCTTTGTCCTATATTAATGTCAAAGATACAGACAAACCAAAAAGCAGGAAAGGGGGGGGGGTTAAAATTATTAGTACTTATTACCTTGACTATGACTCTACTATTTCCTGCTACAACTAGGTTATCTGCACTATGGCCAATGTCAAAAGAGGAAAGGGATGAATCAGATAAATACCAACATTTAATCATTTTGTTTGTTTGTTTTAGAGACAAGATCTCACTATGTAGTTCTTGCTTTTGTAGACCAGGGTGTCCTGGAACTCACAGAGGCCTCTCGAGTGCTGGGATTACAGGCATGCACCACTACCATTTAAGCATTTTTACAAGGTCCAAATCCTATTACCATATATTTGCTGAGACATTAGCAAAATGGTAAACTCAAACTAGATATTTCAAGTCTATCAGCTTATAACTTTTACAAGAAAAAAAAAAGTCAATGGATACTTGGGGTTGGCGGGGGCAGGGGGAGAGGGAGAATTCCTTAGGAAAGGTGATCTGGGATATACAAAGAGGTTTCTTGAAGGAGCCACAGAGTTTAAGGTATGGTTTGGAATAAAAATCCAAGAAGGAAACCCTTGGCCCCATCTTTGTTCCCTGTTTAAACTAGAGTAGTTCTGTATGAACCTTTGTTGTTTTGGTTTGTGCTTTGCTTTTATTTTTTGAGACAGAATTTTTCTGTAGAGCCTTGGGCTGTACTGAAACTTGTGTAGAACAGAATGGCTTCAAATTTAAGAGATTAGCCTCCCTCTGCCTCCAGATTGCTGGGATTAAAAGCATGCACCACCAAACCCAGCTTTGATGTGTGTGTGTGCGCGCGCGCGCGCATGTGTGTGTGTGTGTGTGTGTGTGTGTGTGTGTGTGTGTGTGTGTGTGT